TACACTTGAAAATGGTGAAAATGGTAAATTATATATTATGCATATTTTACCACAATAAAAAAGTAATAGAAATAAATATTGTGAACACTCATAAATCCAATATAAAGAAAAAACTGAGTTAAAAAAACAAAACAGATACATACTGAATAAAATTGGCTGGATTTCTTTCCAATCCTTCTCACTCCCAGCCCAAGTATTTTACTACCCTATCACCAGCTAACTAAAAGATCATAGAAAGATCACAAACAGGAAGAACAGGAAACCAGAAAGTATAAACTCAAACTTTTACAACACCTATTTTTCTCCCCCTTTCCACTCTGCATTTCCGGGATGGTTACTGACACCTCTATTTTAAGTGTTAAGGAACAGTCCCTCTGCATCTAACCTTTGCCTACTGTACACTGTGTATAACAGTCCTCTAATTCTCACCACAAGCTGGTGCTTTCAGTTCTTGTCCTCAGAAGGGAATTCCCTAAAGCTTGCTATTCCCCCCACTTCCCACACAAAGGAGTTTGGATCTACTTACCAAAATCTGCTAAGAAGACTTGCTCGTTTTTATAGGGACCATTTTTTTTTCTGTTCTATTTCAGAGCACTCTCCCTCCAAATCCAGGTTTTCCCAACACCACCTAACTGCCATCTAGCAGTGAGAATCACTGTTTCCCAGTAATCAGGACCATCACCTTGCATAGGAGGCCCCAATGGTTCATCTTGTTGAAGCTACAAAGTATCAATGTTGCTCCTTGATTCTAGCTAAGCAGGTACCTGCCACACCTCTTGCTTCCTAAACCCCGCAAGTAGCATGCCTTACCTTTGGTGTCCTGCATAACAATCGAGCTATACTTTAAGAAGGTTATCAGTAGATTACTGGTCTGTACATCAGCATCCAGTGGGAGTTCCACAGAACTTATAACTGCAATAGAACAATAAAATACAATTAGCCTATACTAACTAACACTTCTACCACAGAGACAATTTGCCAGCAGGCAAAAAAAATCACTAAATAAGCTTTACCTACAACAGAGGGAGGACCACGTGCTTATCATAAAACCTTTATCTAGTCATCCTAGGCCTTCTAGAGCCCTTCCTACTCCCAAGATTAAGCCAACGCCCTTCTCTCATATCTAGGAGGGCCAGCCTCCAGGAACAGTGCTTTTTTTCCCAGCATCCTAAAAAGGGTATTTTGATTCCACTTCTAGCTCCAACTAACCTAAAAGGGCCCTTCTTAAAGGAACTTTGATTTGTACCTACGAGAAAGATCTGCACTGAATATAAATGAGCCTTGCTTTGATGAGTCTCCTGCTTAAAATAAATGACAATTCATTCCTAATAAGGAGAAATCTTGCTCAATTTTGAGAATAAGACTTTAGGCTGGAAATACCTAAAATGGAAGGGGTAAAAGCTAAGGCAGAACTACATTTAAATTCTACTCCTTAATCCCTTATCCCCCATGAAAGGGAACCTAAGAAGGAATACCAGACAGAAACTAGGTGGACATTATTGATTGGGACATCCTGGGAACTGAGGCTGATACACCCAGCTGCTTCCTGTGTCCAAGAGAAACTGCCCCCACTCTCTGAGCCACAACCGCAATGAACACTGAGGGGACCAGACCAGGGCTAACCCACACGGAAATCTCTTACGGAGATTTCCCAAGTTTCTAAGACTTTAAATGAGAGTTAGACATCTTGTTAAGTGCTTTTATACTAAGACATAATATATAAGCAAAAAGAGGCTCATTGTGGCCCAGACAAGCTAAAGAATCTATAGCTTTCTGCTGTGTTTCAAGCCATGAAGGCTCAGCTGAGTTTGGGATATTATTCACAATATGTATTCATACCATAATGGATCCCGCTGGAGTTACTACAATGTATGCAGAGAATATTTATTAACAATGGAAAACATTTGCATATTATGGATCTATAATGCACAGCAAGCAGAGCAAAAAGCCTTATGAGAAGAAATTAGCATGCCCAACCCTTGGCTGTTTTCACACAGCTCCATCCCCAAAAACTAATAAATAGATATATTTTTATGCTGAAATACTAACAGGTCTTAATTCATGTTATAGGTAAATGACCTGAGACTGTCACTTTTAACTACAGCATATTTTGAAACTCAGAGCCCATAATCACTCCTTTATCCAATACAGAGAGGCATCTAACTGGTAAGTGGGACTTTTTTTCCCACTCACATGCAGCAGTAACTGGAAAACTGTCTTATATAATATGAAGAAATATAGAAGTATATGTATTTTTAGTTTACCAGAAAGTCCTCTCATGCCAAGGCTGAGTTGTCAAATGTCAAGTCTGAGCCGAGAACAAATGTTACAGCTAAACTGCTGGCTTTTAAAAATAATGGTTCCAGTGACATACCTTTAAATATAACTGAGCTGCTGAGCACCACTATAATTAAAAAACAAAACCTGAAAACAAGGTTATGATATTTAGAACCCCTACAGAAAGCAAACGAGTTAGGAGAGAGGAAAAAGGACAAAACAGGAGGAATAAAATCCCTCACAAATTAAAATCTCCTTCCTAAAGAAGTTATTCCTTGATCTTTGGCTTCATAATTCTTCCCAGCAGCCTTTGTCAAGGGAGACAGTCATTTGAAAGCGGGCTAACTCTATCTTCCCACTAGAAAAAATAAAAGCTCACTAGTTGTAGGTAAGTAAGCACAAATCCTGCCATTGCATAATCAAGTGTGTGGGTGGAAGTGTTCACAATGAACAGTTTAAAAGGCAGTTCTCTGAAGCATCCAAACCCCAACATCACATGGAACTCAGATATGTATGTGTGTGTGTGTATATATATATATATATATATATATATATGGCTTTTGATATCCATGGTAACCAGGCAGGCTTCATCCTTAAAGAGAAAGAACAGTATTTCCATTGGATTACACAGTGACCCGAATAAGTAGAGACAAGTTGGCAATCGTCACTACTTGCTCCTTCTCATTAAGATATTTTGGAATTTGGCTTTCAATTTTAAACAACTCCAATTTGCTACCATACATTTGAATATCAATGGCACCTCCTTGTCATGCTTCTGTACCAACAGTGCTTGTACTACCTAGCAATGCTGCTGCCACATGTGTGACATGAAAATTTAAGGGAGAGAAACCCGATCAAAGAAGGCCACTTCACATACAGACAGGGAGGTGGAAAGAAAGGATCAAAGCTAGATTTCCTGTCTCTCTTCACCCGAAATGAGGTCAACATTTGTGGAAAAACATCAAGTATTGGGCCAACCGAGTGGCACGTTGGTTAAGAGCTGGCTTGGGACGCCAGAGGGCCCCGGTTTGGATCCCACATATGAGGACCAGTGACACTGCCCTCTACAGCTAAGATGCTGAACAACAGCTTAACTTGGAGCTGGGCTGCCTGAGTCGCTGGCAGGCATAGGCTGCAGCCCCTGCTGCAGTGGGTTGTCATGGGCTACTGTGTGTAGCCAGNAAAAAAAAAAAAACTTGCTTAGGACCTCCTATGTAACAGGCACCACACTGGGCACTAGAGATATAGCACTGAAATAAACAAAGGTCCCTGGTCTCCCAGAACTCACATTCTATTATTAAAAAAGAAGGTGGCAACCTGGATAGCAGGGCTCTATGCCCACACAGATGACCAAGAAAGAGCGAGCTACTCCATCACTACCAATTATCAGAACCATCAAAGCTTATTTAGTTCCCAAGATCTTTGTGGGTGAGAGGGTGAAATGGAGGTAAGAAGACAGTCATACCAGCTTATCTAAAACAGACAAATGGCTTATGATGTTTTAAATTAGCTTCGACAGGACCCAGATTGAAGTCCATTCTGGAGAGAGTATCTATTAACAGATTACAGTGCTACAGAGGTGAGCTAATAGTTCTCACCCTGACATTATAACCTGCTACTTCCTCAAAGATGGAATCTGTCAACTAAAACATGACAATTAGAAAGCATCATGGGGGTTATAGTCCAGAAATACATTTACCTCTCCTCAGAGATAGGCAGCATGAAAAGAGTAAAGTTGATAATCCCTAGCAGACATTCCCCATAGCTTAATCAGGGCCCCTGGGCTGGCAGAAGAGAAATGTCCCTGCCTAAGCAAATCTAAATTCATGAGACTCTTCTACTTCTACCTCTGGCCACAGTTTCTCCGCACTATCCTCCCTTCCCCCAGAAGCTGATGAGCAACTTCCATAGTACAGCCTGCAGCGCTCTCTCCACTTTAAAAAAAAAAAAAGTTTCTGAATGCAAAAATAAGGCATGTTTCATTATAAACATTTTTTAATTCAGAAAATGACAATAAAAGCCAAGTTTAATCATACCACCCAGATGTCATAACAGTTAAGAATTTGATGAATCAACTTGAAGTCTATGCAGAGATATACATATATTTTTAAATATTTTTTGCCTAATGTCTATTTTAAAGGTTGAGCAGATACTCCTTTGGTTGACAACACTCAAGTCAGAAGA